TGCCGCATGCCCCCTCCCCCGTTTGCTGCGGCTGTTCTCTGCCCCGCTGCCTCTCCCCCCTCGGCTGAACTCTGAGACGAGCTTTGTGTTCTGGTTCACTTCTCGGGGAAGATTTGGGGCGCACCGGGTCTGCCCCCTTTGCCAGCGGCAGAAGGCTTTGCCGGGGCGCTCGGCGAATGCGTATTTATCTCTTGGTGCCCACGGCACGGCTGCTTGCGGCGCGTTCAGATGAGGGAAATGCAAACCAATTATCCAAGTTTGGGGCTGGGAATGGCTTGATTGCTGCTCTTGTTCTGTCTTGTATTATTGATGCCGCTCTCGTTAAGCATCAGCTCCGCAGGGTGGAAAGGGAAAGGCGCTCGCTGCCTTTGTGTTTCCCGCACGCTCTTCACTCCCCTCTCTTCCCCTCCGGGCACGAAAGGCTGACCGGAAGGCTTTTTCCGTTCCCTCAAAGGGCATTTGATCTCCTCTAGACTGGCTCTTCCTGTGGGTAACTGGGCCATGCGTGTGTCCGGCGAGGCCGTTTCAGGTGCCGGCTGGTGCACGTGGCGCTGAACCACAGAGCAGCCTCCCTGTGTTTGGAAAGACACGCACATGCCCTTCGGGCCAGGCCCTCGGCTGAGCACATAGGCACCGATCAACGCCCGTTGTGGATCTGGCCCCAGTTCAGCACGGCAGAGGGGTATTGGCTGGGCCTTCCCGGGGGGGGATGTTACATTGTCTGCGTTTCACACCCTGCAGCCTGCGAAGAGAAGCGAGGAACAGGGTGTGGGTTGGCTTCTGTGCTTTCCTGAAACAGCTTCTCGAGTTGCTCTGAGAGAAGATTTCCAAGTGGCTGGATTGCAGTCAAGTGCCTCCATCAGGAGTCATGATCCTAGGGCTGGAAGAGTCACGGAGTCCAGCCCCCTGCCCACAGCACGGCCAGCCCCAACTCCATCAGCCCAGCCAGGGCTTGGTCCAGCTGGGACTTAAACACCCCTAGGGATGGAGACTCCACCCCCTCCCTAGGGAACCTCTTCCAGGGCTTCCCCCCCCGCCTAGGGAAATGGTTGGATGTTAGGGAAAAGTGTAGACCTCGCCCCCTGCAACCTGAGCCCATTGCTCCTTGTTCTGCCGCCGCCCCACTGAGAACAGCCTCTCTCCATCCTCTTTGGAACCCCCCTTCAGGGAGCTGCCAGCTGCTCTCAAATCCCCCCTCACTCTTCTCTTCTGCAGACTAAACAGACCCAAATCCCTCAGCCTCTCCTTGTCGGTCATGTGCTCCAGCCCCCGAATCATTTTGGTTGCCCTACGCTGGCCCCTCCCCAATGTGTCCACATCCTTTCTGCAGTGGGGGAACTGGACACAAGACCTCAGCATTGGTGAGGCCACATCTGAATAAAGGGGAATAATCACTTCTCTGGATCTGCTGGCAATGCTCCTCTTAATGCCCCCTAATCTGCCATTAGCCTGCTTGGCTACAAGGGCGCCTGTTGACTCATCTCCAGCTTCTCATCCACTGTAACCCCCAGGGCCTTTTCTGCAGAACTGCTGCTTAGCCAGTCAGTCCCCAGCCTGTACCAATGCTTGGGATTCTTCCGTCCCAAGGGCAGGACTCTGCACTTCTCCTTGTTGAACCTCATCAGATTACTTTTGGCCCAAACCTCCAATGTGTCCAGGTCACTCCGGACCTGATCTCTGCCTTCCAGCGTTTCTACCTCCCCCCCTAGCTTAGTGCCATCTGCAAACTTGCCGAGGGTGCAATCCATCCCCTCCTCCAGGTCATTCATAAAGATGTTGAACAAAACTGGTCCCAGAACCGACCTTTGGGGCACCCTGCTTGATATCGACTGCCAACCAGACATCGAGCCATTGATCACTACCCATTGGGCCCGACAGACTAGCCAGCTTTCTAGCCACCTTACTGTCCATGTATCCAATCCACATTCCCTTAACTTACTGGCAAGAATATTGTGGGAGACCGTATCAAAAGCCTTGCTAAAGTCGAGGTCTATCACATCCACTGACTTCCCCATGTCCGCAGAGCCAGTTACCTCATCATAGAAGCTAATCAGGTTGGTCAGGCACCACTTGCCCTTGGTGAATCCATGTTGACTATTCCTGGTCACTTTCCCCTCTTCCAAGTGCTTCACAATGGATTCCTCCATGATTTTTCTGGGGACTGAGGTGAGGCTGACTGGTCCGTAGTTCCCTGGCTCGTCCTTCTTCCCTTTCTTAAAGATGGGCCCTACATTTGCCTTTTTCCAGTCATCCGGGATCTCTCCCCAGCTCCATGGCTGTGTCTAGACTGCATCCCTTTTCCGTAAAAGGGATGCAAATTAGACACATCACAATTGCAAATGAAGTGGGGATTTAAATCCCCCCCGCTTCATTTGCATAAAAATGGCTGCCGCTTTTTTCCGGCTCGGAGCTTTGCCGGAAAAAAGCGCCATTAGGAATAAGGGATCTTTCGGAAAAGGCTTTATTTTCTGAAAGATCCATGTCTAGACTGGCGCTTTTTTCCGGCAAAGCTCCGAGCCGGAAAAAAGCGGCAGCCATTTTTATGCAAATGAAGCGGAGGGGATTTAAATCCCCACTTCATTTGCAATTGCGATGTGTCTAATTTGCATCCCTTTTACGGAAAAGGGGTGCAGTCTAGACACAGCCCATGAGTTTTCAAAGATAATAGCCAAAGGCTCTGCAGTGACATCAGCCAACTCCGCCCCCGATCCAGCCCCCTGGACTTGTGCGTGTCCAGCTTCTCTAAAGAGCCTCTGATTGGCAGTGGCTCTGACCCGCCTGGGAAAGGGGGAGCAGCTGGAGGCGGAAGCCAGCCAGGCTTGCGCTGGAGAGGAGACAGGATTTTGAGCTGTGGGTAGTTGATCGCGGCCCTGATCTTCCAGTGACTTTCTAGAAGCCCTGCGGCAGCCCAGCCCGGAGCTGGGGCTTGCTGCTGAAATCCTGGGAGATTCCCCGGCCTGTGTCATCCTGAAGTCTCACTTGTTTCCCCGCTGCCTGCTGAGACCCGCAGCGATTGGTCTCCCCGTCTCTCTGCAGCAAGGAACCCACGGCCGAGTGACAGGCTCAGCCCAGGGAGCGTAGCAGCGGGGAAGGAGCTCTCTGAGTACGGGGCATGGAGTCAGCGCCCTCTGCAATGTGCAGGCCTCCTCTTCCAGCTTGCCCTGGCGGGGCTGTTCTGCAGCTGCTGGTTGCTCGGCTGTCCTTCTTCCCAACCTGACTCAGTTTCCCCTTGGCACATCTTCAGAAGCCTTTGGCTAGTAGGCTCCTGACCCAGGAGTGTGGAGAGGGGTTTAGTGTGCATGAGGCCTTGTTGGCAATGGCACTGTGGGCTCAATGGTTTGATTCCGACTCTTATCTGCCTCGAGGAGCACGGTTTGGAGTTGGGGCAGGCCTGGGTTTTGGTGCTGAGTCTGGAGCGGGTCAGTGTTCCCTTTCATTTTGTATGCCCCTGTGCGGAATGAATTTTGTCACGTGCACCAGTGTGGAGATGATGTGGGAAGGAGCTGCCACGCTCGAGGAGAGGAGGCCATGGCAGTTCCGTGCCCAGTGGGCCTGGTCCCCGGCGTGGGGCTTACGAGGCAGCTGCATGGCCACGTGGCTTAGAGGGTCCCTGGCGTGAGATGCTGGGTGGTTTGTGCACACGGGGGAAGGGAGGTGCTTTCCTCAGCCCCGGTTGGGTCCCCAGACACGGTCCCACCAGGGGCATGTAGCTTCCCGCTCTAGCTGTAGCGGTAGCCGGGCATCCTGGGCGAACGGGAAGTCAGTCCCTAGTGAGGAAAATAGGAGCACAAACGCTGGCATGTCGGGCGGAGAAATCGGAGGCCGCCCGAACGAGACTGTGCAGGCGACAAGCCGACGACACAGATTAACGGCAAAGGTTTTCCGAAGTGCTTCAGAAGCCGGAAATCCGCCCGGTAGGCCCTGCCTCCCTGGGCAGCCCAGGTGCTAACGTGGCCCTGAAGGAGAACAAGGCTGTTTCGGAGAAGCGAGTTGAATTCCCTGCACTGTGCATGCGCCAGGGGCGGGGCCAGCCCAGATCATTCGGCGGGCGCACATAAATGCCCCGGCGGGCGCCATGGCACCCACAGGGACCGCGTTGGGGACCACTGACTTAGGCGATCCGTCTGAGGGGCATCTCATGCTGAGGTGCCAGCGGAGGAGGTTTTGGGCCAGACCGATCTGTTTCACGGGAATGTGGCACCAGGCCCAGAGGGGACTCGCCCCGGAGTTCTGACAGTGCAGACGTGAAATGGCAGAGCTACCGCCTGGGTGTGGAACCTGCCACTTAAATCCGCCTCCGCCCGGATTTAAGTGTAGGGTCGCTAAGGAAGGACTACTTCTAAAAAAGGCTCCAGAGCTGACCCTGCTAGTGACAGGCCCTCGAGCTGAAATGCCGTACCCAGCAGATTGGTGGAACCGGGGGGTTTATCGTACACCTGGACGAACGCGCTTCGTTGGGAGAAGAGTGAACGCAGCTTTAGCAAAGGCAAATCGTGCCTCACCGGGCCACAAGTTGGACCTCTGTGGTCTGGCACCCTTGGGACCGGACCGGTCCTGAGCAAGGGAGTTTGCTGGACCAGGGGAGGTCAGAGCTCTGGTATCCGGGCCGGCTCCCCTCCTGGCTGGTGGCCCAGCCCCGCTCCTGGCCCTGGTGGCTGCTGGCCAGGTTCTGACAGCTGGACTCTGCTCCCTGTCTCCAGGGCTGCTAGCCACCCGCCCTCTGCCCCGGACTCCCAGCTGAAGTCTGCTGGGGCTTTCTGGTCTGGGGTGCCAATGGTCCAGTGACATCCCTGGTCCTGCTGGACCACAAATGCTGCCAGACCAGAGAGGTTTGACCTGTCTGAGAATTCTCTGAGCGTGCCAGCCGACAGGCGGACACGGGGTCCAGCGGCTGCTGTTTCAGAGCTGGTTGGACCCCACGGCCGTAAAGGATCTGGAAGAGAAGCTAAAGAACGAGGTGGCAAAATCTGCAGCTGACGCAAAGTTACTGGAGATAGTTAAGTCCACAGCAGACTGGGAAAAGCTACAAGAAGGACCTTACAGCTGGGTGCTTGGGCAACACGCTGGCAGATGAAAGTGACTGTTGGTAAGTGCAAGGAAACGCACATTGGCAACAGAATCCAGCTGCACACGCAGACAACGGGCTCTCAATTAGCTGCTCCCACTCCACACAGAGATCCCGGCGCGACTGCAGCTCCTTCCCTGAAAACATCCCCTCCGTGTGCAGCGCCCGCCAGAGGAGAGGCCAGGCGCTTGGGAACCGCTAAGGAAGGAATAGAGAGCAAGGCAGAAAATATCCGAATGCCCCGTCTGAGTCCCTGGTGCGCCCGTCTCGGCAACTGGGAGCAGGTCTGAGCAGCCCTTTCCAGGAAGAGAGATGAGAGCTGGAAAAGGGCAACTCAATCAGCCAGAGCCGGGAACCGCTTCCGCGTGAGAAGAGATCGCTCCTCTGGGGCTGCTCATCTTGTAAAGGAGAGGACTAGGGGGACGAGGTCGAGGGCTATAAAATATCCTAGAGCCCCAGAGACCTCAGCAGTCATCCAGTCCAGCTCCCTGCCCAGAGCAGGACCAACCCCAACTCAATCAGCCCAGCCAGGGCTTGGTCCAGCCGGGACTTAAACACCTCTAGGGATGGAGACTCCACCCCCTCTCCCTCCTCCCCTGCTGCTGCTTGGGAAACTTTTTGGTGACAGGGAAAAAAATCCCAAGAAAAGCCCCTTTTTTTCTTCATGGTGGTCAAAGACTTTTCTGTAGAGACCCAAGTTTCCATCACCCCTCCGCTCTCCAAAGTGCAGTTGGTTTGGCAGGGTGAACTGAGTTGTAATTAGAACGAGGAGGAGTCTGGTGGCACCTTATAGACTAACAGATTTATTGGAGCATAAGTGTTCGTGGGCAAAGACCCACCTCGTCAGTTGCATGCGGTGGGAATTCCAGAAATTTCAAAAGAAACCGTATGGACGTCCATGGAGCTAGTCCACTAACGGGGTAGCCCTCAGAGCCCTGCGCCCACAGAGGGGGAAACTAAGGCAACAAAGGCCACGCTGAGTTGATGGATGAAAGGGGGTGAAAACTCCTGGTCCCCTGTTCTATGTGTTTTGGGTGGTCTCATGGTTAAGGCACTGGACTGGGTGGCTGGAGATCTGACTTCTATTTCTGCTGTGGGACTCTGTACCTCAGTTTCCTTTTGGTGCGATAGCAGTAATAATCCTTCCTTTCTCCACTGTATTCCTTTCTCCAAGCGAATAAGGAAAAGTTATTTACTTAGTCCCACAATATAGGAACCCAGGCTCACCAAATAAAATGAATAGGCAGCAGGCTTAAAACAAACCAAAGGAAGTTTTTCTTCAGCCAGTGCACAACCTGTGGAACTCCTTGCTAGAGGATGTGGTGAAGACCAGGGTTAAAAAAGGAGCTAGATAGATTCCTAGAGGTTAGGTCTATCAGTGGCTAATGCCAGGTTGGGTAGGAACGGTGTCCAAGCCTCTGTTTGTCTGGAAATGGGTGACAGGAGAGGGATCACATGATGGTTTCCTGTTCTCTTCCCTCTGGGGCATCTGGCATTGGCCACTGTCGGTAAACAGGACACTGAGCTAGATGGACTGACATGGACTGACTGTTCTTATGTTCCTGTTGAGAGGTGCAGAGTCTCCAAGGCTGGGATATGCACCCATCTCCTAGAGCTAGAAGGGACTTTGAGAGGTCATTGAGTCCAGTCCCCTGCCCTCACAGCAGGACCAAGCACCATCCCTGACAGATTTGCCCCAGATCCCTAAATGGCCCCCTCAGGGATTGAACTCACAACCCTGGGTTTAGCAAGGTAATGCTCAAACCACTGAGCTCTCCCATTCCCCCCAAGCTTCCCACACTATAAGCACTAGGGGTCACCAAATGAAATGCCCTGTCGCTCACTGGGTGTTTGTACAGCACCGGACACGTGAGGGCCTGATCTCAGTTGGCTGCTGTAATACATAGGCCTACAGTCGTCCCCCCCCTCCCCCCTCCCGTGGGTCCCGTCCCTCTCTTGCGGGTGCCGGGTTACCTCCGTCCTGCCGTGGGCCGTGCTGCGAAGCGCCCTGGGCGATGGCAGGGTGTCCCTCCAACTCTCCTGCTTTCTCCCCCTTCCAGGTGGGGTTCCTGAAGATCCTGCACAAATACGAAATCACCTTTCTTCTGCCCCCCGTGCAGAGGCTGGGGAAGGACGTCTGCGCCGTCCCGCTTCCCAACCTGAACCTTAAAGTGCTCAGCGTCACCCCGGTGTCTGAAGGTAAGTGCCCCCCCGCACTGCCCCCCCTCCATGGCCGGCCCTGGGGGCCCCAAGGGCAAGCCTGGCGACTCCAAGACCCTGTGATTCCCAGCTGCCCTGAACGCCTCTCTGCTGTCCTGGTGCCTGATTGGGAGGTGGGGCCGGGCAAGTGGGGGCCGGCAGAGGCACGTCTGGGAGCGGTGGCAGAGGAAAAGGCACCTGCCTGCCTTCCGCACTGGGGCGTGGTCTCTATGGGTGTGTCTACGCTGCGTTCCCCTTTCGAGAGGAATGCAAATGCAGCCGAGTGAAATTGCAAGTGAAGTGCAGATTTGAATTTCCCGCGCTTCATTTGCATAACTGCGTCCGGGCACCCTATTTCGAAAAAAGAAACGGTCGAGACACGGTTCTTTTGAAAGCAAACCTTTCTTTCGAAATTACCCTTAAACCTCAATTTATAAGGAGTAAGGGTAATTTGGAAAGGAGGGTTTTCCTTCCACATCACCGTGTCTACACAGCGTTTCTTTTTCCGAAATAGGGTATTTCGAAATAGCACCCGGACGCAGTTATGCAAATGAAGGGCGGGAAATTCAAAGCCGTGCTTCATTTGCAATTTCACACGGCTGCATTTGCATTCCTCTCTCGAAAGAGGAACGCAGCGTAGACACACCCGTATACGTCTGGCCGGAGCTGTCTCCTAGGCTCGAGAGGAGGGGCTGGGGCAAGAGGATGACTTCCTCGAGTAAGGGGGCATCAGCCTGCACATGCCTGGGGTAGGAATAGGCTTGCTCGGCCAGCCGGGGAAGGGTGTCATCTGCCCGGCTAGTAGATTGCGGCGGCTGTGAAACCAGAGCTTGCAGTAGAATTCTTGGAAGTTGTCAGTGAGTCCATGTGGACACGGGAGATCCAAAGGACGTGGGTTTCCAGGAAGCCTTTGACTAGGTCCCTCACCACAAGCTCTTAAGCAAAGGAAGCTGGGGAGAAGAGGGAAGATCCATTCATGGGTCAGTAACTGGTTAAAAGACAGGAAACAAAGGGTAGGAATAAATGGTCGGTTTTTGGAAGGAGGTGACTAGTGGCGTCCCCAGGAGGGCCATGCGGGGACCAATCCTATTCCCCATATCCGTAACTGATCTGGAAAAAGTGGTGAACAGCCAGGTGGCCGAATTTGCAGACGTATCAAAACTGCTCCAGACATTTAAATCCAAAGCTGACTGCCAAGGGTTACCAAGAGAACTCACAGAACCGACGGACTGAGAAACAAAAGAGCAGAAGAAATGTGATGCTGATCAATGTAAAGTCATGCACACTAGCCGTACAAAATGATGGGGTCTAAATTAGCTGTTGTCACGCAGGAAAGAGATCTTGGCGTCATTGTGGACAGTTCTCTGAAAACATCCACTCAGTGTGCAGCAGCTGTCAGAGGTTAGACATCATTAGGAAAGGGATAGATAAGAAGGCAGAAAATATATAGTGTCTGTACAAGTCCACAGCACTCCCATGCCTTGAACACTGCCTGCAATTCCGGTTCTCCCAATCCCCAAGAAGATATATTCGAATTGGAGGATGTACCAAGAAAGGCAACAAACGTCACTAGGGGCATGGAACAGCTTCCACATGAGAAAATATTACAAAGGCTGTTCCTCTTAGAAAAGAGATGGCTCAGGGGGTTATCGAGGTCTATAAAATCATGACTGATGTGGTGACAGTGAATAAGGAAGTATTATTTACCCCTTCCCGTAACACAAGAGCTAAGGGTCACCCAATGAAATTAATAAGCGACAGGTTTCAAACAAACAGAAGCAAGTATTTCTGCACACCACGCACAGCCAACCTGTGGAACTCCTTGCCGGAGGATGTTGGGCAGATCAAAAGTATAACAGGGTTCAAAAAAGAATTAGAGAAGTTTATGGAGGGTAGGTCCGTCGATGGCTACTCGCTAAGATTGTCAGGGATGCAACCTCATGTGCTGGCTGTCCTTAAACCTACAGCTTCTAGAATCTGGGACAGGACAAGAGGGGATGGATCAGGCGACAGTTGCCCTGTTTGGTTCACTCCCGCTGGGGCCCCTGGCGTTGGCCTCTGTGGGCAGACAGGACACGGGGCTGGAGGGACCGTTGTCTCACTCAGTCAGGCCGGGCTTAGGACTAACCCGAAAGGATCCTCAGACTGTGCCCTTCAAAGGGAGCTGTTCCTGCATCCCGGGGACTTGTGGCTTCCCTGCCATCAGCGTGGTGCCCTGGCACAGTGTGGGAGGAGCCGCTGAGCAGTTGTGGCTGGCGTCGGTTGCACGGGCATGGAGGGATGCCGGAGGGTGCATGCCAGCAGGCCCTGTGCATACAAAAGGAAACCCTCATCCCCACCCGGCCGTGCCTGTCCCTCCGTCCTGCCAGGCCTGGGCTGGTCTCTCACCGGCTCGGCTCTTCCCACTCGTGCTGGGGGCAGCTGCCAGGTGAGCTCTTTGGCCCCAGGCCTTCCACGTGGGTTGCTGGGGAGAGTAGCCCATGCGGTCTGCTTGGCTGGGGGGGTCTGTTTGCTCATGGGGGGGCCCTTGCCTGTCCCCCTGTGGGAGGCTGTGCGCTCCAGGCTCCACAGGCCCCTTTTCTCCAGCCAGCCCATG